TCCCTCTGACTTGTCCTCCAATTTTAAACTTAACTTCAAAAAACCTCTTTAATTAATAGAGCCTCTAAATTAGAAAACAACAAAAAAAATTATTTTTTCAATTTTGTAGTTCACACATTTCATTTTATACTTTCAGCACATAGCCTCTTAACAATAATATAGGGTTATACTTTTATTGCTAAGCATTGTCACCAAAATGCACTGGCTTTTCTATATATTAAAAGTTATATAAGGAACCACTTCCTTTCTATGTGGTTTTTCGCTAGATTGCCTCATTAAAAAGATGCACATGTCTCTCTGTGATTTTTATCTATAATATGTAATATAAGTAACCACTTCTTTCCTATGTGGTTTTTTGCTAGCTTGCCTCACAAAAAGATGTGCTCGCAGATAAGTAATAATATCCAGGTGCACACCCTCAGGGTCCACTTAGTATGAGTGCAAAATTTCAGGTTTCTAGGTTTTTTCCTCTTGGAGTTATGGCAGTCACACACACACAGACAAACAGAGACACCCTTTTATTATTATAGATTACTCTTTCTAGCCTTATCTCTATTCTTGCAATAATGCTCTCTTCACTGGAACAAAGACTTTTCAAGGTTAACAACATATTTTTCCTTTTCTCTTGTTTTTATTTCCTTGAAAGTCATATTTTAACAATTTCTCTGTTTCAAGTAGAACCTTAGATGTCAATAGGTCACACTTACTTAAAAACAATGCAAAGGTAAATTATACAACTTATCATTCTTGTTTTCAGTCCAGAGTGCTCAAGCAAAGCCATTCCAGTCTTCAGCAGTGATAGTGTCCTCACGTAGGAGACTCACTTCTCAGGTACCAACTGCTATGACAGAATTGCTTTCTCCAACATAGAACCCTCAAGTCAGATGTATAAAATTGAAAACTTCATTTTCAAAGGTGAGATCATTGTTAGATTGTAGATCTAGAGTCTACATAGTCCATGTTTTTTTTTATCTACCTGATACAGTTGCAGGCTGATCACGTGACTTGTGCACATAAGCAGTCTTGAACTCACACGATATGAGTGTAGGTTGTTACTTAGCAACTCACTGAGCATGCTCATAATCATAGAGTATTATTAGCTCATTAGTAGTGTTGCAAAATGGTTACTGTTGTTACTTATTAATACCAAGGTTATAAGTAAAACTAAGAAAAACACTTTTAGCCAAGATAGTGTAATTTAATCATGTGCATTTATATTTGCATATGGTGCTGGTAACAGAGAGCTATGTCTTCCCAACAAAGTCAGTCAGTTATATTGATAAACTTGTGGTTTTGTGAAATTTTTGTTCTTACTTTACCAACTTTCTCAAGTGCTTTGGTGGCTTGTTACTTTGCAGTTGGTTTGTTTACTACTCTACAGTGTATGTAAAGTGCTTATAAAGTTTTGTTTATGTGTTGTTTGCAGTGTGTTTGATATTTTAATTTGTATTGCACATCTGGCCCATTCCTACTACAACTACTGTACTTATGATATATACAGTCATATAAACAAATGATACATTTTGTTTTAAAATCATTTGAAAAAATATACACCAGATTCTAATGTGAGCTTCATAAAAAATTAGACAAAATCATATCTGACCAAAATAGTTCACTTATTTATGGTTGGGCAAGTTGAAATTTTTAACAAGTATACAACAAGAATTTATTATAATTTCATTCTACAAATCCTTTTAATAGTAATGGTTCAGTTTTCTTTATCAAGGTTAACTCGTTTTACAATTTCTAGGTTTTGTCACATGAATTATTGTGTAGGAAGTTATTGTTAAACTAGTTGACTGTTTGTGTTCATTCTTTATAGAAACTTACTTCATATACTGTTTCTTTTATTATTATTATTTACTTAAAATTGATGGTCACTTCAAGTTTGTTGTTTTACAAAAAAAAAATTCCCAACATGTCAGATTGCTAAGCCTAATTTGGCTACTTTAAATAAAAAGTTTAATAACTCACTTTGGAATAAGAAAAACTACTTCATATGCATGTTTCAAAACATCCAATGTTAGATATTTTATAACTGATTTCAATGCTTCTGCACTTGAAAATATAGCACAAGCTTTGAAGCTTGTAATACATCAAGTAGTTTTATTGTTAACATAGGTCCTAAAATTGGTGAATAGTCTGCTTTATCAGCAATACAGCCATATATGACATTCAATTATTTAAAACAATTTTAGAAAAAAGAAAACAACCACAAAAACTACCGAACCACAAGTTTTCTACATAGAGATTAATAAATCTTAATGAAACTCTTCAAAATCAGAGCTAAACTACAACTAAGTCAATTTATAAAGAGTAATATTATACTATGCACCTGAAAATTGAGCCTGATCAATTTATCACATCTCTGACAGTAAAAAATGTATGCAATTCTGAGCCGGGTTAACACTTGTCACATTTCTAGGCTTAAGAGTAAATATCTAAACCATGTCTCATTCTTAGGTTAAAAACTAAATTTCTGAACTTTTTCCACATTTTAATTTGTTCAAAATATAATTGTACAAATTCCTTTTATTTTAACAAAAAACAATAAAGCTGGAAGATTTATGGAATTTGCTAATTGTTTAACTGCCAGTTTTTAAAAACATTTTTCAAACTACCCTTCAGTTGACCTAACAGACATCTACATGTACAACCATTTGGGATTAAGTTACTTTTTTTAATCCTAAACTGCTAAACACAAGAAAATGTATCATACACACAACAAAGAAAACCTGTAACAAGGTGAAAAGCATGATTAACAAGAAATTATAAAAATAATGAAAAAAATAAGAATGATGTAGGGATAGCAATGCCAAAAGGTATAGAAACAAGGTAGAGATGAATACACAAAACCATATAGAAATTGTTACATAAGGAACCAAATCTTTCCAAGAAAAACTTTTATCTACAACTAAATGATGAATTCCTTTCATTTGCATGAATTCAGGTTTGAATAAAAGCATTTAAACTGAATAATTCTATAAACTCTACAATGGCTAATTCCCATAAGCTTGTAACATTGACTCAGTGGCTATTTATGTACGGATTTGTGTATTCATCCTTACCTTGTTTCTGTTCTTTTTGGCATTTCTATCTCTACATCATCCTTTTTTTTAATTATTTGTTCCCCTCTTTCTTTAAATGAATATTAATGATAGGCAGTCACTATGAAGGCAACAGTTTTAACCTGGCATGATGAGTTGTCTTGATGGACAACATGTTTATTTTTTTTCATAAGAGAGTTAAAAGCAATTATTTTAAGAGTGATAGTTATGACAAGTTTGGTTACATAATTTGATAAGAATTGTACGCTGTTTATAATTCATTGATGTCGAGGATATAGAGATTTCTAGAAGGCCTAAGTGATAGATGTATAAATATTGCCAAGCAGACAGAAAAAAAGAGCACGGGAAGGAGAATTTCAGTCAGATAAAAGTTAAATGCAAAGTTAATTGTCGTGGGAGTGAAAGGCTTAACAGTTAACATGTTAAAGTGAGACTAACAATTTCATAAAAGATAAGGAGAATAAGTTGTCTCGTCAAAGGGTGTTCTAAAGTAATTGAACCAGCCTGAGTCGACTTTGACAAAAGGCAGACGATTCTTGGAAATACAAAAAAAAGGGGTAGATGATTTTTGAAGTACAGGATAAAACCGTGGTAACTCAACGACAACATAAGTGATCTAAACACAGATAGTCTGGTGATAGAGATAGAGAAAAATAGTTCAGCTTGTCAAGTGAATTCTAAAGCAATTGAATAGGCCTAAATAGACTTTTTTAACAAGAAGAGAACTATATAGTGTTTAAGATATAACTATCACCTCCATAGTGTAAGGAATTTTTGTACATACATTTAACTTGTTTCGAATATATATATATATATTATTTTTAAAACAAGTGGAGTGCATGATGTTCTTTTATTTTTTTAAATTGCCAACGAGTCACAGACACCTACTGTAGAAGAATCCTTAGCCCAACACACCCATATACTTACTTTAATTTGTTTCTACTAAAAAGTAAGTTTTCTGACAATGCATGTGAACTATTTTTGGCAAGACAATGAGGAATAATTTTCTACATACATCCACCAGGTTTCATCAAAATCCAATTATTTTTGACTGAGTTATAGAGCAAAAATCAGTCCCCATGTTAACAGATAGGGATTGTTTGGATTTTTGTGACCTTCACCCTCAAAAAACTAATCACTACTAAGTTATGTCATAGTCTACATGTATACCAACTTTCGTCTAAACCCATTCAGAGCCATTTTTGATAAATCTTGATGACAAACACACACAGGGTAAAAAACATTAATATGTCACATTTGGTGGTGGAGGTAATAATCAACAGAACATTTAGCTGTTAAGCCACCTGGCAGTTCTCTTCCTTAGCGATGTTTTTTGGCTAAACTGAAGACCTTAATAGCTTTTAAAAACAGTACAAAGTTCACTATTTAGCAAGAAAATTTGAGACAATACTAGGTAATCTCTTTGCATAGGTTATCAGAAAAACAACAATGCTCGAACGCAAACACACACACACATGTATATAAAAATAAAACTTTTATAGGTTTAATAACATTAAATTAGCTATTTTTCCCATATTTTAGTCCATATCAACTGTGGGATAGTCTTGAGATGAATTTCTTTCTGCCAACAAAAATGTATGCAAGTAAGACTCAACACAGTTCACCCAGCAAATATGATTTTAGTGGTTATTGAAATGTACCACTCTATATACCTGACTTCAGCTATTTGTTTAAGATGATCAGTCTCATTTTCACACAGCACAATGTTAGAAAAATCAAAAGTGAAGAAAAGTGTAATAGCAGTTAAAGATTTCTTTGGCAATTTACCCAGTTTCTTTTAATATCAATCTAAAACTTTTTTTTTTACTCAAAGTGATACTTAGTTGTCCAGCAAGTAAGAAAAGGGTTAAAATATAACAGATTTACAAAATTGCAAGCAAAAAAATAAGTAAAAAAATGACTTACCCTGCAACATCGGGTTGATCATGAAAAATACTTTTAAAAACATTTATTCTTTCTTTTAAGTACTTGGCATAATTAGATTTCACAATTCCTTCATGGCTCTGAAAGGAAAGGAAAAAAAAAATTAAATAATTCTACAATTTTCCCAACAGTTCACAGCAGCTGTTATATAAAACATATACTTTATTTAGGAATAAACATCAAACTTACTTTTTTCTTGTCTTTTTGCATCAAATAGTCCTTTAACTTCTGATCTTATGAAGCATCATTCTAAATATACCATCATATTCTACATTTAATTTTTCTAATTAAAATATATAATCCTAAACTAACTCAACAAGCCTTGTACCAGAAAACAGTGTAAAAATTATTTTATAATTTCATATAATGGTTACCTAGTTAATTTTATACATTGTATTTTTAAATGTCTACACTTATATTCTTCATGCCTGTGTACGCTAATTGATGGGACAGTGAGAAAGTTTCCCATAGCAAAAATAAAGGTGGATACTCCAAATTATGTAGGAGACCTTGAGGCCATGTGTATTAAGGAACCACTATAAGATATGATAATAGCAAACATACCAGGTAGTAAGAATTTAGAGGAACTAGACAAAAGGAAGACTGCCAAAGCAACTGCAGTCATCAGAAGAGCTCAAAGGAAAAGAAGCAAGCAAGACATCAAACCTCTTAAAGTCTTTATAGTGTGAAGAATTTGTTTTACATATGTTTAACTTGTTCCAAATATATATTATTTTTAAAACAAGTGAAGTGTGTGCTGTTCATTTATCATTGAATTTATCGCTAACAAATCACAGACACCTACTGTAGAAGAATTCTAAGCCCAACAACAGTATATATATATTTATATACTTCTTAGTAGTATAAATATATACTGTGTTGTTCTTTTTAGCTCATACACAAAGTCTGCTCATACAGTCTACACTAATATTCAAAGATCCTTTGTCTCTCCTAGCATAGGGTCTCCAGTAGAGCTTCTCTTTAACAGGATCCCTCATCTTCATCTTGATCTTGTGTTGCCTAAGGTTCGTGTTTCCTAATCTATCTGTATGCTGACACAGTAGATTTTGTTCCTCTTCCTATCAGTCAGTTTGACACTCATGTTGACGTCATTGTATGTCTCATCTCTACTAAGTATTCTTAGGCTTAGTAGGTCCTTATCTTCCATAATTAAGTCACTGTCTTCAGATTCTACTTTCACGACAAAGGTGACAGGAGGGAGAAGAGATGCTATGTTTGTTATAAAATGAGACACATTGCAAAGGAGTGCAAGTCCATTACCAGCAAACAATAGTTGAAACCTCAACATAAAGCAGCTGAAGCTATTTACAAAGACAGTGTTGGTAAGAAACAAGAAAAGAGTGACTGGCATTATGGATGCTGCTGCCAGAAGAAAGAGAATCAAGACTACTTGTCAAATACAAGTATTCAAAAATTCAAGAAAGCATGATCGATCAGTGCACGACTAATGGTTGGCTCAAGTTAGCAAATGGATCAACACTGCCAATAGTGATGGGAGCATGTGACAAATATCAAGAGGTGCCAGCAAATCATAATACGCCAATATGTGAAGGCTATTTTGGGAACAAGAAAGTCAAGGTTCTATGAAACAGGTAGTAGTACAGAAGTGAGAACCAGTCTAGTATCCAATGATCAGATGACAGGCATTGTACGCTGGTGTGTACTAATTGATGGGACAGTGAGAAAGTTTCCCACAGTAAAAATAAAGATGAATACTCCATATTATGTAGGAGACCTTGAGGCCATGTGTATCAAGGAACCAATACACGACTTGGTGATAGGAACATACCAGGTAGTAGAAATTTGGAGGAACTAAACAGAAAGAAGATTGTTGAAACATCTGCTGTCACCACCAAAGCTCAAGAAAAGAAGAGCAAATAAGACATCATGCACCTGCAAGTGTCAAAAGGCAACATCCAACATTTAGGTTTGCAGGAACTGAAGGAAGCACAGAAGAAAGACCCTTCACTACAAAACTTTGGGACAATGCCCAAGAGAAAGTTGAGCACAAAACAAAGGGGAAAGATAGTTATAGAATAGAGAACCGTAAAGGAGATTTATACCAAATCTATCAAGGCAGTTATAGTGGGGAAGGTTAACAGATCATAGTACCAACAAAATACCGGACTCAAGTGATGAAGTTGGCTCATTAACCAATAGTGGGAGGATACCTAGGAACAAAGAAAATGGCAGACAGAATCACCAGTAACTTCCATTTTCCGGGAGTCATTGGAGATGTGAGTAGATTCTGCAGGTCATGTGACATCTGCCAAAGAACAATACCTAGAAGGAAGGTAGCCAAAGTGCCATTGGTGGAGATGCCTCTCATAGAAAAGCCATTCAGCGGAGTAGCTGTGGACTTGATCGGGCCACTAGCGCCTGTGTCTGACAAAGGCAACTGGTATGTGCTGACAGTAGTCAACTATGCAACATGTTATCCGGAAGCAAAAGCACTGGTGAAGATAGAAACAGAGAGTAGTGGAAGCCCTTCTGGAGATATTTTGCAGAGTAGGCTTTCTGAGAGAAATCCTGAGTGACAGAGGGACCCAGTTTACTTCAGAACTGATGCAGTAAGTGTGCAGACTCATCATTACTCAGAAACTCTTTACTACCCCATACAATCCTAAATGGAGTCCATGGAGTTTTAAAGAGCTTGCTAAAGAAGATGTGCCAAGACTGATTACATGACAGGGACAGATATATGCAGGCAGTATTATTCGGTTATTGAGAAGTCCAACAAGCAAGAACAGGATTTTCACCCTTCGAGTTACTGTATGGAAGAACAATACGGAGTCTGATGCAAATAATACTGAACGAGCCATGGATGGGAGAAGAAGAGTCAGAAGTAACACATACCAGTATGTGTTAAGACCTCAGACACAGACTGGAGGAGACCTCTCATCTCACTCGACAAAGTTTGTATGCAGCTCAAGATAGTCAGAAGTATTTGTATGACAAGAAGGCCAAGGATCAACATTTCAAGGTTGGACAAAAGGTCTTAGTTCTGCTGCCCACAGACCACAACAAACTCACCCTGCAATGGAAAAGATCTTTTGAAGTATAGGAAGTACTAAACAGAATGGACTACAAGGTGAATGTGAACAGGAAGACCAAGATATAACATGTCAATCTCTTTCAAACAATTACTGATTATACAGTATTCACAGAATTTACATAACTGCTTCAAAGTGCAAAAGAAAATAAAAACCTCTATAAATAAATATAAAACCAGTTATATTTATTTGGTTATATATAAGTATCTAAGTTTTATTTATAAAACTCATTCTTTAAAAATAATGTTAATACCACACAATAAGATATTTGTGACACAACCTGAATTTTTTTTCATGGTTTAATAATTTTATTTTTATCAAAGATATATTTATTTAAATATGATCATTCTCATTGACATTCTTTTCATTCATCATGCAAATCCTTAAAACTCTGATACCCAGTACCTTTTTTTGAGGTTTATTGATTATATTACTTAAATCTTTATTACTTAAAACTATTTTCCACTAAGTTGCATTAATACTTGCACTAAAAACTTGTCTTAAGTATAAACATCATTAATTATTAGGAACTCTGAATTACTGAAAATAAACAATTCCTCCATTAATTCTTATTGAATTATCATTAAGCTTCAATGTCATGAACTATATTTTAACATTTCTAAAGTTTATAAAGTATTAAAAATTTCTTCCCATATGCACCTGACTAATGACTTACCTCAGTTTTTTTCCCAAGAAGCCTTAAAAGTGCCTGTATGAGTCCACTACTATGAAGTTCATATGCAGATATAGCTCTGTCATCTTGAAGAAGATCGGCTAGCTCTTTAAGAGCCTTGTGCAGAATTTGTTTCCATTCATTTGACTACACAATACATAAAAAAAACTAATATCTAATACAAATTCTATTTTCTTTACATTATAGATTAGAAATAAAAAACTGACCAAGAGTTTCTTAAAATATCTTAAATTGTCTTTCTTGTGCCCTGATAAACTAAGTTTCATTGTTTTTTCCTAAATGATTGATCTATTGGAAAAATGTTATTTGTTGCAGAAGATACACAATCTCTAAACTAAAATTTTGTTTCGGTCATTAAGAATAACCATTAATAATTGACAACTTTAATGAAATGCTACTTTCAGTTTACAAAAATATATATATTCATCATATTTTAAACCTCAAACAATTCTACAAAGGTTCTTTTTAATCTCATCTTAGAATAATACTTATTTTATTACTACATCTTCATGAAAAACTAAGAAGGATTGACTGTAAAAAATTAATTACAACTGAAAAGTAAAACAAAAATATCAATACATGATTGTTAATTTTATTACACTGATTTTTCTATTGATTGTGGATATTAACTGAATAACTTTATTTTATACTTTGAATAAAGAATAAAAATAAAGATATTTTATTTTAATTTAATTTATAAAGAAATACATAAACATTTTAAGAAAAATAAAAGTGTAATTCCACAATGTAGCATAATCTTCTCGAATAACTCACAATCAGAAAGATTTTATACAGCAACTTTAATGACAAATGTTCATTATAGTTCAAATGAAACAAAAATACAGAAAATATACACACACCTCATTTCCAGCCAAAAGCTGTTTTTGACAAGCTTTATCAATGTATGTGACTATATTACATAGTTTTGCCACAATTCCACGAGGCTGAGCCTGTGCTGATTTGAAATGGGTATCATAAATTTCTCTTGCCTGATTTTTCACCTACAATCAGAAAATATTTTTAGGATAGAGTTTTCACACAATTTAAACAATTCTTTCTATAAGGATTGGATCACTTTGACTGACCTTGCAACCACCATGTAACCATGAAAGTATATGTACAATAACTTTTAATGTAGTAAATGTATCTTCATGAACTTTGACAAGCTTTTAGTAAATATTACTAATAATCGTACATGAAAATCATATTTTTTAATTAAATACTTATACTAAAGATTTGTCTATGAATATATGGAGTCAAAGTGTGACTCAGAGCCTGACTAGTCCAGGGGATAAGTGATTTTCATGTTCAGGTTAAAGATTGTTTATTTAATCTTAGTTTACAAATTTCATTTAAATAACCTACAAAACCTCCTAAACAAATATAACATTTTTTTTTCAGCAAAACTTTATATTTTATCTGTTATTTTCTCCATCCTAACACTATGTAAAATTGGACAGTTTTGGCAACTTTGTAAGCACCACATAAAACATGAAATAAATCTAAATTACCCTTTTTTTCTTTCTAGAATGACTGCAGATTGTAACAGAAATTAGTTATTTATCCTAAACAGCTTAAAGCTTGTACCGGTTTACATCTGAGTTAATCTAATTTAATTATTTTATTGCTTTTTGAACTGTGTCTAAATAATTCCATGATACAAACTGAATAATCACATGATGAATGCACACATCAAATTAAAGCATTGAATGACATGAACTACTTCCTATCACATTTCATGGAGAGATTTTTTTTCAGCTAACCTAAAAAATTTAAAATTTTTAGATTTTAGTTATTGTTATAGTAATAAATAATACATAAAACACAATAAATATTTTGTTTTTTGCTGTCGAACCATCAACTTAAGCCTACTTTTTTGTAATGATGGTATTAGTACACTAAATAATTTTATTTATTTCAGATATGCTTTTACAAACAAAAAATAATAACATGAACAAAGCAAACAATGTCCTATAACTATTCTAAAATTAAAAACTTCTATTGAAAACAAAGTAGCATTTTACATCATTCAATAAATTCAAACTTTGTCTTTCTATTGTTTATAAATAATGAAATTGCAAGAGACAGTGATAGAGAATTGTGGGTAATTTGTAAAATACAGGATGTGACAGGAGAACATGGCAAGTGGGTTTCATTTTCTAGCTTATTTAAATCTCGTAAACAAAGAAGATTGAAGGCTGTTCCTTAGAATTATCTATATAATAAAGGGTAATTTATAGTAAACTCAGTACATCATAGAGGTGAGGAAAACATAGAAAATGAGCAATTTGGAGTGAATACATGTCATTTTACACAGACAAGTCAAGGCTGAGTATTTACTTAAATATTTCCTTTAGAAATGAAGAAATTAAAATTTAAATAATAATAAACTTTGATTTATAAAATATGTTCCGATGCCAAATTTATTTAAAAACATTGATAATAGAGTAGTTAATTAAATTCTAAATGCAACTCTATTAAAAGTGGTCACATTCCCATTTTTAACTATCAATAATGGAGGTTAGAGAATAAACTAAAATATGAGGTATATCCTTTTTTTTTCTAATTATTACTCGTGAAAAAATATGCTTCAAATTTAGATGAAGATTCCAAAACAAATAAATATTAGGTATATGAAGTAAAGAAAAAACCTAAATTCATGATAAAGTATACGGTTTTAGCCTAAAGAAATATGCTTTAACTCTTTTTGCCACGGAAAGGTCAAATCGCACAACAGAACTTTTTAGAGTTACATTAAAAATTTATATTAAACTACTGTATTATCCTGGTATACGAAGAAATTTAAGTTCTTAACTTTATAAGGAAACATTCTAAAAAATCCTCAATCTCTCTTAGTATGATAATTGTGACATTTGCTATCTAGGTCTTGCCCATTTTCTAATTTATTTACCACCCCCTCCCAGAAGTATGGAACTTAACATATATTACTCATAATTTTTATAGCCTTTAATCTTATTTGTTTAAGGAGTCATAAACTAAAAAATTCAGACCCACTTGTCATGCTCACCTGCAACATCCTCTCTTTCACAAATTGCCAATAGTTCTCTCTGAAGTTTAATACAATATTACTCATAACCAGCAGAAAGCCAAAGTTTTAATATATAAAATGATATTTTACATTACATTGTTTTCTGTACAGATAATTGTCTATCTTGCTTCCAGTTCAAACTTTATTCCAATGAGAAACACATTATGAGCTTAGCTGAATTTTTAACAGCTCTTATTGCATTGTTAAAAAATGCCAGAAAAATTCTGATAGTTATAGGACATTTTCTACCTTTTACATGTTATTATTCTGTGTTCTTTGGTGCATTATTTAATTAAATAAAAACTATTTGGTGTAGTAGTACCATTAGTATAAAAAAGTAGGCTTAAGTTTTATTGACAGTCAACTGCAAAGAAAAGACCAAGTACTGTATTTCTTGTTTTTTATTTGTATTCTTAATTTATCATTATAAAAGTAACTAAAATGTAAAAATTACAAACATATGTTAAATTAGGTAAAATAAATAATAATAATACAAATTTTTCATGAGGATTCTCTCGAGCAACTCACAAGTAGCCCACGCATTATGTAATTTGATAGGATAACATGAGCTACACATTTGCTGAGTGAATTAAAACTTTTGTGGTGACATTATTAGTTACACATGGTTCAAAAGGCAATAAAAAATCAAATTTATGTAGAAACAGATGTATGCTGTTACAAGCTTTATGCTAGTTTCCCATTACAATTTGTAGTCATTCTAGAAAGAAAATGGATAATTTAGATTAATTTCATTTTTTTTTTTATAATGGTTATAAAATTGATTAAATTCACCAAATACATACAGAATTAGAGTAGAGAAAATAACAGAAAACATATAAAGTTTTACTAAAAAAACAGTTTATAATTTATTTAGGAGGTTTTAGAGATTATGAAAATGAAATCTGACAATTTTCAGATGAAAAGTATTTTTAATCTTAACATGAAAATCATTTTGACTCCTTACATTCAAAGAGAAGTTTTTACATATTTCATTTTAAATACTTCATTAAGAATTCTGATTTTTGATCTACAAAAGACTTGTAATGCTTACTGAAAGCTCACAAAATTTCATGAAGATAAACAATAGAAATTCTACAGGTCAATTTGGAGTGAAGAACTTGGTTGAATCAACTGAGCATGTAGCAAAAAAGTTAACTATTGGCCTGGAATACTGTAGTTTACTTAATATACGCGAGAATTATCTTTCAGTTTTACATTGAAACTTGGTTCGCAGGTTTTAACTTCCGTGGATAAATGAAATTGAAAATGCATCAATTTTCCATTATATAAATTTAGAAAAAAGGTTTTCAACATCATTCTGCTTTTCTAAGCAACATTTTTCATACTATAAGCCTTTGCAATCACACTGTGCAACTGAATTGAAGTGTTGGTAATCCACTTATTGAAAGCAATGAACTTGTCAAGGCGTATTACAACAGGCACTGCAGGTACTTAATTGACTATAGCTTATGTCTTCTCATTGTTTGCTGTTTCCAGATTACAAGTTATTATCTGCATATAGCATATTGAGAACAGTTACTCACATGGCTTGGTGGTTATAAAATTACTTTAAATTCTTTAGCAATATCAAACAATGAACAGTACCAACTTTATTACATACCCCTCTCAGAATGTCTTTGTGGAAATGGATAAAACTGATCAATCCTCCCAAACCCACAACAGTGAACTGATACAATCAGGGTTTATTGAAACAAGTTTCCAATGATTATCATTTGTATGTTCCCATTGACTGTTGTGTGTAAAAAGTCTGATTGTTGTTATTAACTCATGCAAGTCACTTACAAAGTGCTATGCTTTATGAATGTGCTAAAGAATAAATAATATTTGCTTGTTTATATCTGTTTGAGTTTCACTTATCACTCATAAAGGCTTTTTATTTCACTGGAACTATCATTCGTGGAAAAGTACGTACCGCGAAAATAGCAAAAGTTAATTCCAAACGAATAATTAGTAATGTACAGTACTGGTAAAAAAAAAAAAGACCAGTACATTTTAACTACATACCTTCTGTTTGAGTGCTTCAATTTTTGACCTTAATCGTTTCCCTTTCTTGCCTGTCCAACCAGCAGCAAACTCAGCACCTAGAGACGTTTCAGCAGTGAAAGAGTGTTTGGTTCCACGATTTGACTCAAAAATAAAACCTGCAAGGTCTTCCTTCAAGATGGTTGCTTGCTGTTTTAAGATGAATACATGCATGATGTTTTACACAAAGTTAAATACACTTAACATCCTACAAAAACACAATATATATCTTAATTACACAAAACATCTCACAAATTGTTTAAGAACTGGTAGTAGCAATTGGATAAGTAAGAAAGAAAAACTTTCACATATGTTCAAATATTTTTTGAAACTTCTATACATACTGTAAATACAATACATACATTATCTCTACAATACGAAGCAATATTAAAGTTTTTATACTGTGACCTTTTTCGACCTAAAGAAAGCTTCGTATAGAAGCTGATTCATCATCCCAGAGCAGAAACAAGGCTTAAGATGGTGTTGCATGTTCTTGATTTCATAAAAACACTAAGTGCAACACTAAAAAGCTCTCAGTAACTTAAATGGCATTACAAAAGCCATAAAGTTTGTATATTCAAGTTGGTTTTATTTTTCTGATCATCAAGAAAGAAAGTAATGCTAAGATGTGTATAAAACAATCAGTTTATATATGTGTATCTTAATGTGCCAGCAATTAAGGAATACTCTTTGTGAAAACTTTCTGTTTCACAGGATGTTAATAAGGTGCATGTAAAAGCAATTCATCACAATGGGCTTTAGACGTGTGTGTGGGTGCATGCTGGCCTAAAGGGGAAGAAAGGCAATAACAGACATGGAAAGAATGCTAAAAGGTAGAAATTTTACTTACTTGAAAATGTCAGTTACCACAAAAGAATTTTATTTAAATTCAATTTCTTGTTTTAAATTGATAATATGGCATTCAACTGTTTACCAAACACCATATAATTACTACAGGTTGCTGTTTTTTGTTAGAACAAATACCTTGATGAAATTCACATTATTATATAAAATACTAATAAAATTCGATTTAATTTCATTACAATTTATTATTATGTATCTTATGGGCATTAATGGTAAGTAAGAAAAACATTTCCTCACAATAAAATTGGATCATTTTATGAAGTTGGATTACATTAGGACAAAAGTTTTCAAGGACAAATTAATATCAAGTTAGAATTAAAATACGAAAGCAATGTTAATGAGATAAAAAACACAAACCTGTTGACCATCTGAGTTATGAATACAAATTTCTCCTTCCCTTCGACAGGAAAGTGACCAATTTCCAACAACAAGTCTAGTAGATCCTGGAGAAGAGAGAATTGGTTGGATAGGCATTCCCGATTTTACCTGACAACGAGCTCGCTGAAGCTTTTCTAAAAATTCCCCTCGATTTTCTGAAATGAAAAAAGCACAAATAAAATTGTATCATACAAAGTAGAAGAACTAGTAACAGTAAAGGTAAAAAACTTTGGAAAAAAACATGGATTTTTTTTAAAAAAACAAAGAATGCATAATAATTATTTTATCACCCTTGATGTATCAAAAAGTTGTTGAAAAAAAACAATGTCAATAATTAGCCAATAATATTATAACACACCAATATGCATTATAAATTTACTAGTTCCACATAATTTGGATTTGTACTTATAAATAAAAACACATATACATACACAGCTGTTTATTTACAGCTACAGAACATAAAGACCATTTGAACTACATTACCTGTACTGTCTGAACCACCCTCAGCACTACCACTCGAGTACATTGTAGCTAATTTTCCATCTAGGATGAAACGGAACCATCCATTGCTCCCATTGGATAATTCAAGAGCAGCTGCATCACTCCAGAGATATAAACAATCCCTACCCCTCACAATGCTCCATTCTCGCCAATGATACGGTCTTCCAGGAAGTATTTCTCGGGCATCATCCATGGTAATTTCATCATCATCCTACAAAAAAAGTTTATCTTGGCTTTAATAAACAATATATAATGAAAGATTACAAACACAAACTTTCAGAGAAATACAGCAAAATTTGCACTGAATGTAAACTCATCTCTTAATGCATTCTGTGACTCCATAGTTTGTTAATGTTACATACAAGTTTGTAATTATTTATTTAAAAAATAAGTTATTAGCCCTTTTAGATTAAATGGTAGTCTATAGACTATATTATAAGTATTTTAAGTAAAATTAGTGTATTTTCATAATTTTTATGCAAATAAAATAATTAAAGTGAAATATTTAAAGCATATATCTTGCTGTATTACATAATGGATAGTAAAAATTCATCTTGTTTAATACTGTAAAACCAACCTAGATGAAGCTGTAAACTAAAAATTCATATTAAATTATTTATTTTTGTTCTTCTGTTCATTCAAAACTGTTATATATAACAAAAAACTAAAAATAAAGAAAAATCAACCTATTTATAAGCTTACACTGATCACTTACTTAAACAGAACTAGTATTAATGGAATTTAAACACTTTTTTTTTTGGTTCTTGTGCTTTTGATCAAACTTGGTAACTTAACTTAGATTATGCTTACCAAATGTTTTTGAAAAAAATAGTTTTGTACTAATTGTTTTTAAATGATCCAAGTATAAATATTTTGGACATATTGACATGTGCACTTTAAAACCAACTGTTCACAATCCTTGTTAAAAAAAAAAAGGAATGCTAAGTGCACTGCAAATACAGAAAATACTGGCCCTATGATGAAGATATTGTGTTCTTTATAATCAGAGAAAGTACTTCGATTCATAAATAAAAACCAAAATTAAAAGAAATAAGTCCACAGTCTATAGCCCAGGTTACTCCAACAATTCATTCGATGTTTTGTTTATACATGTATGTTTCTCATAAAAAAAACACATGGAAACAAACACAATTTTTAATCTTATAAATAGTAGAATTTTGTAGGCTTACTTATTATTTTTTTTTGTTAATCAAAAATACCTTCCCTGATTCTGAAAAAGACACTATTTTCAGAATAAAACCAACATGCAACAAAACTCCTAAAATTGTTTGTTTCATTGTAAAAAATTGCAGTGACTTTAATATCAATTAGTTGAATTTGAAAGCAATTATACCTGTTTTAGAATATGAGAAACATGTCTTACTGCACTGCAGTCAAGGAAAATAGGAAAGTATTCTAAGTTTAAAACAAAGTATTAAACTCACTGCAGTGTCATGATTTTTAATATTTTGTAAAATTTAGTAAGTTTAATAAAACATACAAGTTCCAGAGATCCTAATCAATATATATATATTGAACAAAACCGACTAAGAAACTGTTCAGGCAACATTATAATTTTATACCGAGTAGTCAGTTGTTTAATCAAGCATAAAAGCAATCATTTATAAGTAGACTAAACGGTCTCAAAGATAAATATACACAACAAGGGTTATTTCAAAATACCAACCCCTTCCTCCCTGTTTCTCATTTTATCATCCTCATAGACTTCTGGTGGCCCGGCAAGAACTAATACTTTACTAAATACTCCCAGGCGTGCAAAATGATCTAGGAATATGTTTGATCCTTTCATCATCAGGTCTTGAATCATTTGTAAAGCTATTAAGTAACCATCATCATCTTCCTAAAACACAAAATGTATATATATATATATATATATTCAATACTGACACACTAGGTTCAAATAAAATAAATTTAAGAAACAAAAATACAAAACTCTATAACCCGAGTTATTTTGAAAGGTGGATCTTTCTTCATCAGGGACACACTTGCTCACATAAATATCAATTAAAAGTTCACAATTTCATATTACAAGAACTGTAAAATATGTAATCCAAAATAATAAAAAATGCAGGTTAAAACAGAAACACATCAGTAGTTACAAAAGCACTAAATAGTTTATAATGAGGGGTAAAGAGAAGCTAGAACTTCATCTTAGTTTTAGTGGTACACAAACACACTACATCATTTTGAACACAAGCTTTGAAATTATCCTTCATAAGCACTGAAATAATCCTTTATAACTTTAAAAATAAGATATACATCATTATTATATACACATTTTAACATGGAATTTTTTGATATAAAATTCTCAAACATGTCTATAATAACTTGCACCTGATATGGAAAATACTTTATTTTGTAAAATTAATTTTGAACATAGTTTCAACTTTTCTTCTAATGTGTTCTTGTGCATTTATCTTTAAAATCAAGAAGTGAGTTTATTCCTAAGCAATATCACATTCTGTGTACCTTGCAGAAAGTCAAGCTTAAATCTCATAAGGAAGATGATCCACTACATCCATCCTTCACTTTTGGCAGAACTAAGTAATGCACAGACAGGTGTACTAAATTTTGCTTCTCAACTTGTAGAAGTTGTTTCAAGTGTACTGGATAGTGAGGCAAGTTTTTATTAAAATTTCTTTTATATACAGAAAAGTTGAAACAATACTGAATTTAAGTTATTAGACACCACTTATTTAGATTTTGCAGCATTCTTTATTGTTACTTGTGTTCTGTTATACATAACAACAAAAAGTTTGCTTAGATTTTTTTCTGTATATAATATCTTTTGGTATTTTGTCTTACACTAAAACCTATCTGAGTAGGTGCACATAAATATAACATAATATTTAAAAATTTCTGTTAGTTGTTTTTATCTATTGTTTGATTATTACTTGATTATTCCCAACCAAAGTAATTTTCTGTAATACTCTCTTCTTATTATTATTTGTTTTTATTTCTGGTCTAACTTTTTCATGACATGATTTTTAAATTTGGGTGCCAAAAATTTTGCACCCAAAAGTGGTAACCTTTCCTAAATTTAGCCTGTATTACCCCCTTGCTAAAATAATCACTTCAAAGCACATAACTTCGATTAAAAAGCCACTTTTATTTTATAGAAGAATAAAACCTAAAATTGAAATAACATCAATCAAAAATATTTATCAGGAAAATCCTGAATACTCAATAATAACATTTTTACAAATCATTATCACATGGCAAATCTCAACAACTGTTTTTAATTTCACAGAGCTCTCTTCAAGACCTTTAAATTATGAGTATTATTTACTCACATTGGTATAAAGTTGCATGCAATAAATAAAAGTTGTTTGCTTTTACCATTTCAATTTTCACTGAAAAGTCATGTTTTACATACAAGCTAAGGTACATTATAAACTTTTCATTTGTATTTAACTTGTTAAACTATATATACCACCTAAAAATTGTAACATATAACACCGGACCAATTTAACAGTATATGATAAGCAACAACTCAGTCTGGACAAGCAATCATACCAATTCAGTTTTATATGGTCACTTTTAAAATATACTATACTTATGTAACTGTATACAGAAACTAGCTAAGTAATAAATATTTTATACAAAGATGCACCCTAATGGAACCTTTGGTTTCTTGGTAAAAAAATAAAATAACCATTAAACTATCACTTCTAGATTTTTTTTATCATCCATATTCTTTATTATACAAAATAAATGTAAAATATAAATCAAATGCTTCTCATAATTGAAGTATGTTTATGAATTATATGCAAGATTTTCAACATTATATCTTTTTCTATTTTTGCACCACACAGCTATAATATTTGTTCAAATAATTCCTTAGTGAGATGAATACAAATGTTAAAATAATGAAATAACCACACATTATCAGTATTTAGAACAAAAGAGACAAGTAGCTGCAAACTTCAAACATTATGCAATTACCTTTATTCGTTTTTTTTACATGGTAATCAGAGATGATGGCATTTTTGTTTATAACTTTAGAAAGATGTGATTAAAACTCATGTGAAAATATTAACAAGGACAAATTCTTTGAAGTTTGGTGTAACAAGCATTTCTAGAGGGAAAAAAATGAGAAAATGAATCTGTGATGAGTTTCACACAAGAACTTTGTATCAGATCAAGCTTTTATATCACAAACTTGAGAGAGATGATTATGCACACTGGATGTTTAATCTTAAAATTGCTAGGTAAAGCACACAACTAACATGTGTACAGATTTTGTATGAGAAAGCAATAAATAATAAATTTCTGTTATTAAAATTAGCCAAATAATATATTGTTTTGTTGTATATTTTCTTAACTTTTGAATAAAAAAGAACTTCAAACAGCTATCAATAATGTCTAATATTTGTTAAAAATCATGTTACTGTAGGTGTTTTTTTGTTCTTTTTCCACATTCCTATTAACTTGTCCATTGCATGTTTAAAATCAGAGGCTGTGAAATAATATTTCAGAGCTATTTTTTGTCTCTCACAAGTCACTGCCCAAAAGGTCTTTCTTTAATTACCAGAATTTGTCAGATGGGCTGGATAATGAGAGACAAAATAAATCTCTAAACATATTTATATATGCAGTATAATACTTTAAAAGTTATGGTTTAAATGCCAACAGCTGCTAAAGCATCAGAAATGAAGAGGTCTCATCATCCATCCCAATGGACAAGTACTGGTACTGAATGAAAGCCCTCTTTGGCAGTGACTTGTGGAAGACAAAAAATAGACTTGAAATTCTATTTTTACATGCCTCTGACTTTCAGTCCACAATGGACAAATTGAGAGGGATTTGGAAAAAACATCTGAAGTTAGCACAATGTTGTTATTGCCCTTTGAACGGTGTCTAACTATTAATTCTGCCACACAAGTTGTTAATCACTTGGTGAACATCTAGCTCATGTAGCCACCCTATTGAATTACGTAACACATAGGCTACTTGTGCACTGGTCATGAGCATACCATGTGAACATTTTTTATTTTTATTTTACCTAATCTAACCTAAAAATGTTTCTCATTTTTACATTTTAGTTACTTTTATACTAATAAATAAAGAATACACATGAAAAACAAAAATACAATATTTACCTGGGACTTTTTTTTTGTTTGCTGTCAGCTGTCAATGAAACCTAACACGCCTTTTTTATACTAATGGTACAACTACTACACTAAGTAATTTTTTATTTAATTAAATAATGCTCCAAAGAACATAGAATAATAACATATAAAAAGCAGACAATCTCCTATAACTATCATAATTTTTCTGGCTTTCTAACTATGCGATAAGAGCCATTAAAAATTCAACTAAGCGCATAGACGTGTTTCTCATGGAAGCAAAATAAACAATTCCCTGTACAGAAAACAATATAATACATTATTTAATAGATTAAAATTTTGGCTTACTATTGGTTAGAAATAATGTAGTATTAAATGTCAGAAATAACTATTGGTAACTTGTGAAAGAAAGGATGTGACAGGTGGACATGGCAAGAGGGGTCTGATTTTCTAGTTTATGGATCTGTAACCAAATAAGATTGAAAGTTTTAAAAATTATGCTTTGCCTGAGTAATAACAATATTATAACTAGAGGGGCACTCAGTAGAGCACATACCTCTGCCACACATCATTGATCATATTTGGTTCTCAAAATTATGAAAATGTGTTTACATATATGTCATTATCAACAGACATACACCATTTCTGTCAGAACAATGAGGAGTAACATTCTACACATGTCAACCAAATTTCATCAAAATCTGATTATTTCTGATTGAGTTAGAGCAAAATAAGTGTGCAAAATTGGTCTCCCTTATTAACACATAGGGATTTTTTGAATTTTTGTGACCTTGGCCATCCAAAAACTAATCACTTCTAAGTTGGGTCATAGTCCTAATGTATACCAACTTTCTTCCAAATCCATCCAGTCATTATCAAGAAAACTTGCTAACAAACACACACACACACACAGGGGTGTAAACATAACCTCTATCCATCTTCTGTGGCAGCAGTAATTAATAATAATTTAGGCTAAATTCCATACTTTTCATAGGGGTGGTAAATAAATTAGAGAAGAGGGAAGACCTAGAGTAGAAATGTCACAATTCTCATACTAAAGGAAATTAAGGATTTTTTTATATTGCCTTATAAAATTAAAAACTTAGGTAATATTAAAACTTGGATTATTAGCTAAATTTTGATGCCAAGTTTATTTGTATATCATGATAATAACATACTTTAACTAAATTTTGAATGTAACTCAGTAAAACCTTGTAACATGCACAGAAAAGGATGCTCATATGAAAAGAGTTAACATGAATTTTATCACAAATTTTAGGTCTATTGGTTTCTAATGCTTCTACAGCTTATAGCATTTAAACTTAATATTTAAAATATTATGCTACCCATAATATTGTTTTTTTTGTTATTCCAAACTGTAATTTTTATTTGCGAGAGTAGAAATATTTAAACTTCCCATTTCTATAGATAAGAAACCTGGCAACATTAACAAATCTATGGTCTTCACACGCATATTTCTTTATTACTAGCTCAAATAGTTGAAAATAGTGAAGTTAAGTGATGTCAAACACTGTAAAATTCAAGTCAATGCATTTTTGTTTTACAGCTTCCAAGCTTCTAAGACTAACACAATCATAAACATGTCAGCTGAAAGCTTGGATTATTTTCTTTTTTGTTATTTATTTGGCATCTTTTTGAAACAACTGTAGATAATATCTAATAAGAGGTTAGAGGTAAGTTTTACACATAGGACACAGTAAAGTAATTACTTCTTTATTAGTGGAATATCCTATATGAACATCATATAAATGTTTCAATAGTTAAATATGGTTTTATTCAAATAAATACAAGACCAAGTAAACACAAAGTTAATTATAAAGATAGAGAGAATATCTTATACTGATATCATAGAAATGTTCCAATAATTACACTATTTTATTCAAATAAGTACAAGACTGATATCATAGAAGTAATATTTCAATAGTTAAAAGAACACCACTTTATTTACAAATTACTAGTACAAGACCCAGAAAACCCTAAATTAATAACCATATGAGAGAATATTTCAAACAGACATGATAAAACAGCAATTCTAGGTAGCTTATGTACACACGGCCACAAAATGAACTTGTTTAACAATTATCCAATGACTGTCATACACTACTACTTCTGTTTTGAAACTCACAGAAACAACAATATTTAGAAACAGTCGATCATATCTTACACATTTTTTACAACTAATAACAAACATGAACCTAAGTTATGATTGAGACTTTTTTTTTTTATTTGTATTCTAATTTACCTCACAGATCTTAACATCGAATGTTGGAATGTTTGACAAAAAACCAACAACAGAGAACGTAGATACAGAGGAGCCATCTCTGGGTCACCTTTGGGTTCGCTATCTTCCTCGGGTTCTTGTGTCTTCTTATCGATATTACGGCTACCTTCAACAACAGGACACATCCATTCACCTAAAAACAAACATGCAAATCATGTTTCTTCATACATTAATAGAATAAAACATGAAAGATTTCTTTGTCAACATTATATTCTAAAGTTTACAATAAATAAATACCATATACAAGAATAGGTACAAGTTTGTGCCACCCATCGTTGCCCACTACAGAAATTCATGAAAAAATGTTAACATATATTTGACCTGAAACAACATTACATCAAAATGAATCATTAAACATAGCAAAATGTTTAATTACAATGTTGGTCCAGTTAAAGTTTTACACATATGAAGAAATGCATAATAATCACTGGCATTAAGCTATGTTGTGAAATTTCCAAAAACTTGTTGAGACAGGTTTTTTAAAGCATTGAAAATACTTCGTTTCACTTTAGAATTTAAATTTTTTTACTGTTGATTAGAAATTTCCATTTCCTATATTCATTTAGTTTCAGTTATAACTTTTTTGTTAATTTATTTCTTTTGATACTTTATTTTGCTGTTTGAAGAAGTCACCATTTACATCTTTAACAAAAACCCAGCCAAAACTGACAGAAATATATCAGTTACCTTAGGTTTGACCTTTCAAAATGGCAATATCATTACCTTGGTCATAGTGGGTAAAAATATTTTTTGCCAACACAATTTATATCTAATACATAGTTACTTTTCAGTAAACAGTAAGTTCTTTATTTATGTGCATTCTTTGAATACAATAAGCTTGTTAATAATATTCAACAAAGAAGGATTTGAGTCAACAAAATATTTTGCCTCACCTATCATATTTGCTAGAGCTAACTAATCTTACCATATTTTCTGTGATAAATGAAAATAGCTTTCAAACATATATAATTGTGTATCATGAAAGTTGGCCTCGTAGAAAGTATATTATTAGAATGTTTGCCAAATTCACAAATGTGTATAAAAATGTTCCTAATATTTATTTTCAATAAAATAATATCAAAATAAAATTTATGACTTATCTTTCAATCTGTGTGGAACTTGTTTTGTTTTCTGAATAATTTGCCTGCTACTGACTCTGGAATTGACATGTTTTGTTGGCTGTAGCATCTTTTGTCTTCCATTTCAGTGAGTGATATTTTCTGCATAAAGGTTAACATTCTTGAAATTTATCTAATACTGTAAAACACTGTGTCTGTCTGTCTCTCGTTCACGCACTGATGTCATAGCAGTTTATTACATAACTTAAGGAGTTTGACTTCCTGTCAATTAGATGCGAGTAGTCTACGACTTATCGAAAATTAAGGATATATTTTGACTTAAATGTACAACAAATTGCACCTTTTTTGCAATTTGAAAAGGGGAATGTGCAGCTCACATTACAATATTATTATGTGTCTATATTATTACTTATTTTACCTAATCTAATCTTAAATAACTTTAAAAGATCTGTATTTTTAATTCTAATTACTTTTATAATAATAAATAAATAAAGAATAAATATGAAAAACAAGAAATAAAGTACTTACCCAATCTTTTTTCTTGCCCTCGATTGTCGAGGAGAGTTAAGCCTGATTTTTTATAGTAATTATGGTAAAGCACTTAATTTTTATTTAATTAAATAATGCAACAAAGAATATAGACTAATAACATACAAAAAGTAAACAAATTCACTTACCTCTCAAAATTTTCTTGGCTTTCTAACTATGAGACAAGAGCCATTACAAATTCATCCAAGCTAGTCGTTAACTTTCCCACGGGAACGATGTTGCTACTCTGAGTGAAATTGATGATTAACTGTTCAGAACACAACATTACACAATACGTCATTTGATAGATGAAAACCTTGACTTTCTATTGATTATAGGTAAAAGATAATGAAATGTAAGAGAGAACTATCAACGAACTGTGAAAGAGATGATGTGACAGGTGGGTGTGACAGGAGGGGGTCTGATTTTCTATTTAATAGCTCTGTAACCAAACAAAATTGAAGGCTATAAAAATTATGGTTTGTTTGAGCAATAACAATTTTACAGAAAGTATTTTACATTTAATTTTGTACATTTTTGTGCGGTGATAGGTAAAATAGGGATGATGACATACTAAGGCAAAATGTGTCACGTGGGTCACACTAGTGGAAATTCAGGATTTTTTAATATATTTTCTTGTAAAATTAAGAACTTAAAACTTGTATACAATCAAAATATGGGTTAATAGCTAAAAGTTTGTGCTATACTAATTGGTATAACACAAACAAAAAGTTGTTTAATAATATTTTGAGTGTAAGACACTAAAACCTTGTGTCATGCGCAGTAAAGGGTACCCGGGGCAATAGGGTTAAATTAAATAGTCTATTCTTATCACTGATGCTTTTCCATCTTAAAATCAGGTTGTTAATGCCCTGATTAAAGAAATCACTTGGCTTTGAAGCAAAAAACATTTCGATGTCCTCTTTAACACCTTTCACATTTGCATACGTTTTCCCATTAAGTTGGTGTTGCAGCGAACCAAAAATATGGTAATCTGATGGTGCCATATCTGGAGAATATGGTGGGTGGGGGGAGAACTTCCCAGCCCAACTCCATAATCTTGTGTTGCATTAAATGTGCCACATGTGGACATGCATTGTCCTGGAGAAGAAAAACACCTTTCTGATTAACGAGTGAAGGGCATTTCTGATGAAGGGTTTGATTTAAATGTTCCAGTTGCTGACTATAGATCTCCGCATTGACAGTTCGCTGTGGATTGAAGAGTTTGAAATGAATTACTCCTTTGATGTCCCACCAAATGTAAAGCATCACTTTCTGCAGATGGAGTCCAGGTTTTGGTGTCAGAAGTGGTTTTTGTCTAGGACTAAGCCATTATTTTTGGCATTTAATATTCGCATTGAGAATCCATTTGCCATCACCAATGAGAATTCTGTCTAAAAATGGTTCACACGCATTATGTGCCTGAAGACACAAAGCAACGTTCACACGTTGGAAACGATGATCATCGGGGAGTTTGTAAGGCACCCAAACACCTTCTTTATGGAGTTTTCCCATATTCCTTAGATGTTTATGTATTGTTTCATGAGAGTCATGTAATTTCATGAGTGTGTTGCTTGGGTTAGACTTAACAAGCGTCTTCAGAGCATCAATATGAATTCCATCATGTTTTTAAGGAAAAAGTCACCTGAACAAAACTTGCTGAACCATCATTGATACTTACAAATGTTCAAAACATTTCCATAAACTTCTTTAATATTCTTTGTGGCTACAGAGGCATGGTTTCCCTTCTTGTATTCAAACAGCATTACATGCCGAATGTGTGTCTCGTTGTGTGCCATCACTATAAGGGAGTATACTAAACTTTACACATTATATAGGCTACACTAATGTGACATTTGGGTGATTCATTTAACTTTTATACATGATGTGCATTTCTTTTTGTGTGTGTGTGTGTGGGGGGGGTAACGAAAGTGTTCCAGAACGTGACATTAATTTATTGACGACTTAATACTACGGTTAATAACATTAATACTAATTGTTCCTTGCTCACTGGTAAAAACATACAGGTGTTATTACTGTAATGCTGAACTGCTATTTGTTCATGTATTGCTACTGGTGTTGAGGTTTTGAAGAATAAACATTTAACAGTCATGTATCAAAAGATTCTGTTGACCGTTATGTAATCATATGAGTGACTTATATGCAAGTGACACACCTCAGAAATAGCATTACTTTATTTAGTCATTTATACCAAAGCCATCCACTTTCACTGTTTAAAGAATTATTACTATTAATGTTTTGCTAAACTGATTCACCATTATTCATCTACACAAATAGCAATTTTCAATCCAGAATGAAAATTTGATGAAATCCCATGTTGAGACAAACAAAATCTATCATTTTTAAACATTTGTTTTCCACAAAAACTATATAGAATTATGAAAACCTAAACAGTCTTTAGCTTTAAAGCTATAATAATAGTAATAAGTAGCTCAGATGTAAAAGTTTCTTATGCTATAATAATAATAATATTACCACAATTAAAACAGGGGGGGGGACTATGTTTATGATAATGTTTCATAATAAAGTACTATAACATGATTTATTAATTATATACACTGACATGAAATTGTAGTGAACAGAAGTTAATCAAATTCAGTTTCACAAGCTGCCTCCTCCCTTCTGCCCCCCCCTCCCCATTTTTACATCTTTAACTACATCTTATATGTAACCAATTTACCACCAAGTAACTTCTTCAACAAGGTTGAATGTTTTTATTGGGATAATTAAAGTATTATATTCTGAAAAAAAAAGTACCATTTACATGGGGGTTTTCCTGCTATTTTCGCAGTGTACCAGAATTGATCAAAGTGGCTAAATTTGAATATATTGGAAATATACCTAGAGGAGCAAATAATTAAAGAGCTGAAACTTAGTAGGTGCAGTGTCAATAACAAGGAAAGAGCATTTAAAGCATTTATATTTATTAATAATGTTTACATTTATAGAAGAATTCCAAAATGTTAGTTTATTATTTTTGGTACTTGGTGTATTCATATGTAATAATAACATTACCTTCCATTTTACAATGAATGAGTACACAATCCCATAAAAATGTAACCAGTGGTCACAAGTACATCTTGTAAAAACAATCTTATTTGTCTTTACTAGCAGATATGGTGTGGTTAATATACTAATATACATTTATATTTTCTTTTATTCTTTAGTTATTAGAATTATAACCACTGTTTTTAAGAAAAGTAAATAGAAAAACATTAAATGTGATACCTAAGTTAACATTTGAAACATTTTCAGGCATGAAAAGAAAGTTCGAAAAAATTCCTAGATCTATGATTTCTTCATAAAAATTTTAAGTACTAAACTTCTCATTACATTCTGTTGTTCATTCCTGCAAGAGCTCCATCAAATCATAAATTACTGTTCACATCACTATATTTACTCTACATTGACACAAATGGTTTCTTATTTGCCATATCAAATGAACTCTATTGAACTTTGCATGTAGTTATTTTCAAAGCTGTTTTTCATTAGTAATTATTCAGACAGCACATTATGACATCAGAAAATTGTGGAAATGAAGGGGTGTGATAATAAAACCACAAAAAAAAGGAAAATCATATAAGAAACAAAACATAAATAATTATGTTTTCAAGGGATAATAGTTTGTTAGCAAATATGTCTAAGTGCTCAATCCTGAATAGAAGTAAATTTTTTTCCTTGCAAATTACACTAAATAAGTGTAAAAAAATGACATTATATAAATGTTAAAATATGTTTGAGTTAAAAATTGTTGAATTAGATTTAGAATTATTTGACATGTAGGTTTGCACTCAACATCTAAAAAGGTGCTCTGTGAACTAGATCGGGTTAAAAACATTACATAAAGCTCATCGTTAAAAAAATGTGCTACAACATGGTAACAATTGCAAATCAACATGCTTTTAATGATTATAAGCCCTTAAGGGTATTTTATCAATGTAATAGTCACACAAATTGTTGTTTTTATTATATTGCTGAAAAGCACAATATATATATATACATATATATAGAGAGAGAGAGAGAGCATCTTGCTCTTGAGCATATTTTTAATGGTTGGTGTTGTCTCCCACTTTCGGGTCGATACGCAGTAGTCCTAGTCATAACATAGTTTTCCTGCCACTGTTTTCCATTACATTTCAAAATTTTACCATTTGCACTACTTGCTTACATCACTTTGTGTTGCTCTTCACACAAAAGCAATCTATAAAATCTTAATTACAGATGAACCTGCTTATTATCTTTCCTCTTTCAAAGTTTATATGCTTCTTTTTTGGAATACATTATTGCCAGCACTGAAGCAAACCTGGGATGGTTGCCCTTTATACAGAAACACACATGCAGTGACTGGAGATGTATTTTCATGTCAATTGAACTTTTAAATACAGAACAAAGTTCAAGTGCTTATTGTAAGTAGAAGGTTTCAATGCGTTTTCTGCACAATCCTTCAAGTTAATACAATAACAGAGCCTGGATATTTTATAACTGCTGAAATATTTTTAGCCATGGTATAGTGGTTCATAGATGGCTCTGAGTTTTTCAAGTACAAACTTTTAGCTCATAGCTCCATCTCTTGACCAATTTGAGATCCAATTACAGTTTTGGACTCGGGAGGTAATCCCTTTTGATTGATGTATTTTACCATGTTCAAGGTCTCAGATTAACTTACTCTAATCCTGCCTTAAAGAATTTCAATTTGAGGGTAGGCTGGTAAAGATCCTGATAAGTAATGAAACTGAATTGAGTATATGCGTGCCCCACACTTGGTATTGCTGGCACACAAAAATACAGCTAATAAAAAAAGGAAAAAGAGGTCTCATACATTAATTTATTCAAATCCTGCCTAAAAGAATTTCAAGTGCTGTGGCTATTGAGGATTCCCTCTTACTGACCACAAATAATTTATGTCATATTAAAATTAATCATATATAAATTTTCCACATCATATCCTCTGAGAATAAAATGTACTACCTGGAGACTGAAGGATAGCTGCAACTTCCCTATGGCCTTCATCATTACGTTCTCTTGCTTTATCTAATGGGGTTTTACCATCTTCATCTCTCAAATCTGGGTTAGCACCATGACACAGAAGTACCTATAAAACAAATACTAGTATTTAACTCTTATCAATAAAAGAAGCTATAATTCATTTTCACACAATCTTCACATTTTTACAAATATTTAAATAATTATAATTACAAAGGCATGATATATATATATATATATATACACACACACACACGTACATACAGACTGACAATGATATAAGCTAGAAGATTACTTTTCTCCCATTTAAAAAAATTAAAAGACTTTTGCCTACATATAAACAATTATAATCAAACTACTGAGACTTAAGGGTTATTAACATCTTGAATCACTTTTAACCACAACTCACCCATATTATTAGAAAATGATTTTTCATAATTCACTACTTCATCTTCAAATTATGACTGTTAAGAATAAAAAACTTGCATGTAGTCCTTTACCTTAGCCACGCCAGGTCTGCCAAAACATGCTGCATAATGAAGAGATGATGACCGTTGACCTTTGTTCACATCTGCACCACGGTCACACAGGAATTCGACCATTTCTTGTGTTCCAAAAGCTGATGCCCAGTTTAATAATGTTTGTCCCACATCATCCATAAAGTTCACTTCGATACCTGTAAATAAATAAATAGAACCAACTCAAAGCTAAGGAAATTCCTCATTCAAAAACTTTGAAAACTGTTTCTCTTAAAATCTTTATAACAAACTTGCGTATTTAATATTCAATCAATATTCAAAGAAAAATTTTTTAAAGCCAGCATTCCTACAAATGTTGTAATGAAAAATTTATTAAGTCAACAAAATTCTACACAAGGTTTATGAAAACAAACACTTAAGTTACATCAACCATTGTAAATTGCATTTTCTAACAAGATGTCATTAATATAAAATAACTATATTAATAATAATGATATATATGTGTGTATAAAATTTTTCAAATAAACTGTATTACATCAAAAGCGTAGAGGTGATCACTCAGCACTGTATAGCCCTGACGAAATTATAATATAACCTACAATTTACTTATTATACACGTAGATGTACGCGCCAACAAAGTTCTAATATAGCAATGTAAAATTACACTGTTTGTACTAAAGTACAAAGGGTATGACTTTAAAGTGAAAATGTCTGCGGTTATATCTCCCAAAAGCATTGGGGATATTCCATCTATCAGACATAATCAAAACAACAGGTGCAGAGCTAGACAGCACGTAAACGAAAAAAAAAGGGGGGGGGATTAGGATCTGGATGCTAGAACCCACAACGTCCCAGATCCCACTATCAATCACCGTTTATAGCCTGTTGTGGGTATGATAGTTATCCCTAAAAAAACATAGAAACAGAAATCCGATATTAAACCATAGATCATCCAACCCCAGTATAGTTACTCCATGATATTAAATTATGAAATATATAACCATACTGTACATTTGTAGTAGTAATACTGATACTTTATCACTGCAAGATATTAATAATTATACAATATAGTATAAGCAGTAATGCTTCAAATAATATTTCAGTTAATGTTTTTATTATTAACTATAAACCCACCTATATAATTCTTCACCCTTTCTAAGTATAACTGAATAAACTGAGGCAGATCCAGTTGCCAGAAGTTAGCCTTTCCAACCCAGAAATACTGAAAGTATTATAAAGTTAACGCTAGACTGTATAATAAGATTTCTTACGCTAGTAACCACTCATTAATTTAATATTTCAAGTTAGAAATAATTGTATTCAAGTTGTTTGTATATGATTTACTTTCTAATAATTCATTTGTTTATTCGTTTTACAGTATGCCATCTTAACTTATTAATTTTAATTGTCATCTGAACTGTCGATTAGCTAATACGCGTATATGTGTGCTTGTACTATCACGAGTAGCCGTTACCAAGTTATTCTTTATCTATGAATAGCCGTTACGAAGTTATTCCTTATCTATGAGTAGCCGTTACGAAGTTATTCCTTATCTATGAAATTATGGTAATATTTCGCTCACGAGCTTTGTTTTTTAATGTACAAACTATAGTAATGTATAGAATGTGTCAGTTACCGAGTGTACTTATAAGTGAGCTTATTTAATGTACAAACTATAGTAATGTATAGAATGTGTCAGTTACCGAGTGTACTTATAAGTGAGCTTATTTAATGTACAAACTATAGTAATGTATAGAATGTGTCAGTTACCGAGTGTACTTATAAGTGAGCTTACAATAATGATTATTTTTAGGTATTTCCAAATCCTTATCTATGGGATAAAAATTCGGTTTTACAAAGATGCTAAGAAACAAAGGGAATATTATGACCAATATTACGAAAATATGGTTTATGAACAACAAGATGCAGCGATGTTACGTCTGTTTGAATGTTACTTGGAGTCCGCTCCGCAGTTGGTTCTTCAGTTGTATATCCTGGCCAGAAGTCCATACCCTCAGCAGCTGGACTGGACAAGTATATGTTTCAAAATGTTGTTTTCACTTCCGTAAAACCATTTTATACCCATGCAGTTTAACTAGAAACCCATATAAAAAAAGTATTTCTTAAATTGTTGTAGTGAATAATCTATAGAAACATTTTGAATGCCATCTATATTTTTTATTTCGTAAAGTTTTTTTATTTATATAGATTACACGGGCCTGCGATGGTTTGATGGTCTTGAAATTTTTACATATTCTACAGTAATTCCTGTACGCTGAATCCGAAAATGATGTCCATTTTTCTCGATCACGTAAAGATTTTCCACAAAACGTCGTAATACAATACATAAAAGAAAGAAAACACAACACGTAGTTTTGAGACTAAAAGACGTAATTTAAAAAAAAAACCGGGATGACTAAGGATGCATATTCGTTTGACATCAACGTTCTTCCCTTTTCTTCAGTTTGTTTGTACTTTCGTTAACAAACATTATAATAAAAAAATTTTCACTGTGGTAAACGAAATAATAATTTGATCTAAATAAGAGTTTTTCTTCCTCCTTAGTTATAAAAACAATTATTACTGGATTGGAAAAGATGAATATTATTTTTGAAATCAGCGTAGCTGAATTATGGTAAATCCGTTATTAAAACCAAAACAATTTTAATGATGTTTAAATTCGCACGCCTGTGTTATCAGCGAATTCGATTAAATCAAAAGGTCAAGTTAGTTTAATCTAAATGTGTTTTTGAAGTACAACCTTTTATATTTGTGTGTGTGTGTGTATATAATATATAAAATGCTTCTAACAGTTTAAATGTATTTTCAACGTATACATATTATTTGTTCTATAATATTATTTTTCTTGTTTCTATTTTTATTTATTTTTAGACACCATAACTTGGATATCAGTTTTACTTTCTTTGGTATCCCTATCATCGTCCTTAGTGTCTTTTCAAGTTGCTCTACGTGTTTCAAATATGGACAAGAAGAACTTGACATTTATTGGTATGGTTGTGATGTTTATATGGCGCTTTTTCGTCATTGCTTCGCGAGTGATTGCTCTTTCCCTCTTTGCCTCTCACAGCCCAAAATGTCTTGGTATATTTTGTGGAGTTCACTGGTTAATCATGACGGTTTGGATCTGGACAATGAAAACCGACTTCTGTAATACAAAGTATTTAAATTTCTTTTCACAACCCTTTCTTAAATTATTCCAGAAAAATAAGAAGTGCTAAGTTAAAGAAACAAATAAATGATATTTCAGTTATTAACTCTTAAGTAGTATTCAGTTGTGTAAATGGTTAATGTAACCGAGTTATATGCTTTTACAGAATCAAGTGGTTCTAGAATCTTGGTATTAACACCGGGTCAAAGTATCCACGAATTTTCATATAAGCACACTTGCTTCTGTCTTATGGACAGCTGTTTAAGAACAAAACGTGGAAAATGTTTTGGCGAGAGGGTCGTTTATATTTCAAAATTGACAAAAACAACTCTGGATCTAAGGTATACACATACTGCTAGTCCATAAAAAAATAACCGTTAATAAACACTAATTTCCTAAATATATATATATATATATATATATTATGCCTGTTAGTTTCCAATGACGCACGTGTGTACATACATGTGTGGGAGTTAGTTTAGAAGATAGCACTTCAAATGTTACTGAAGTTACATTTTGTGATGAAACCAGAGGTGAGAAATACACTTGACTATGTCACACTTGACTATGTCACACTTGACTGTGTCACACTTGACTGTGTCACACTTGACTATGTCACACTTGACTATGTCACACTTGACTGTGTCACACTTGACTGTGTCGGTCAAGTATGAATTCGTATTGTAATCGGGGCAGATTTAAAATTATAATATTTCGGATTTTTGACTAGGAAAAACAGAATCGGGATGTCGGAATGATCAGAAATTAAGCACTGCTTATAATTAACATTTAACTGAACAACCATATTTGAAACTAATTTTCTATCGCCAGTTAAACTTCGGATTAAGAAAGAAATAATATTGCACGAATAATAGTGTTCCAAGCATGGTGCTGGTTGCTCCAAGATTCTTCATATATATATATATATATATATATATAT